TCAAGTGTGGCTACGGTGGTGAGGTTGGCCCAGGATCAGATATTGTTTCGTTCTGCTGTGCATGTGGTCACTATGAGTCGGTTCCGACTCGATGGCACCTGACAGCAACAACATAGGCAAAATATTGAATGATGCAGAAAGTGTCAAAAGAATATGGACGGATTACAGAGTCACTGTACCAAAAGAAACTTTCCAAGTCCCAAAGGCTTTACTCCATTTGCATCATTGAGGTCAACTCTACCTTAAGGAGGCAGTTCTTCCCCAGTCATATTTTGAATGCCTTCCAACATGTGGGGCTCATTTTCCGGCACTGTATCTGACAATATTCAGTATTGAATATTGAAAGGTGATGAAGAATCATGTTTCAATACTCAGTATTCTGGTACTGGCAGCATTCCACTGCTATTCATAGGGTTTTCAGTGACTAAATATTTGGAAGTAGCTCATCTCTCCTTCTTCCTAGTCTGTGTTAGTCTGGAAGCTCATCTGAAACCTGTCCATCATGGGTGAACCTGCTGGTGTTTAAAATACCCAAGGCATAGCTTCCAGAATCATAGCAACACACAAGCCACTGTAGTACGACAAACTGATAGACGACTGGTAGAGCTCTTAAGTGCACACTGTTACAAATCATGTGCACATTATGGCAGTATTTGAAAATAGGAAGAAAATACCCAGTGACAACCTTGGGGTGTCCTTCCACTTAAGCAAACCGGAGTCAAGGAGAGTTTGGGAAAAGGGAACCTGAGGACCATCACTCTCAAGTTTTAAGACCATAGAAGAATTGATGCTTTTGAATTCTCTGGTGTTGGAGAAGCATACTGAAAGTGCCATGGGCTGCCAAAAGAACAATCAGATCTGTGTTGGAAGACGTGCAGCTAGAAGAGGCCAGGATGGGCAAACTTCATGTCTTATACTTTGGACATAATGTCAGAAGAGACCAGTCGCTGGAGAAGGATATCATATTTGGTAAGGTGGAGGGTCAGAGAAAAAGAGGAAGACCCCCAGTGAGATGGATTGGCAAAATGGCAGCATCAATGGGCTCAAGCGTGGCAATAATTGTGAGGTTGGCCCAGGACCAGGCAGTGTTTCTTCCTGTTGTGCATAGGGTCACTATGAGTCGGTACCGACTTGATGGCACCTAACAGCAACAACAAAGAATCCCCCATGCTCTATGTTCAGTGTGCCATTTCCTGGGATTTCCTCCTACCACTCTCTAGAGATAAGGAACTCTGGTAGCATAGTGGTTACAAATCCGGCTGCTATCCTCAGGGTCAGCAGTTCGAAACTACCAGCTGTTCCACAGGAGAAAGAGGAGGCTTTCTGCTCCCGTAAAGATTTACAGCCTCAGAAACCCTGTACAGGGTCACTATGAGTTGGAACCAATTCCACGGCACGTAACAACAACAACAACTCTCTAGAGATGGGTTCAGTGGGGGTGAAGTAGAGGTATAAGATGGGCACCTGAGACTACTTGGCTGTTGGTGGAGGCTTAGGTGCACACAGAGCTGCCTCGTGTCTCTGTCTCCAGTAGTCTCTCCAGGCTCCCGTTCCTCTTCCCCCTCGCTGCATTTGTCAAGCAGCTTTTGATGCAGGCTGGCTCCCCACTTCTGTAGGAACGTATGCTGTCTTGCATGCATCCTCAGCCCCTAATTAATCTCAAGTCAAGGAGCGTTGGTTCTTTGCCAGTGGGAACTATCAAGCTCCTTTGGGAGGAGAGGAGGCGAGGCAGTGGCGGTGGAAACAGCAGCAGCAAGTGTGTGACGCATCCCGGAGTGAGAGACTAGCAGCTCCAGGCTGGTTAGCATGAGGAAACTCCGGGACTTACTCAGTGAGAAGGGCCTTTCTGTCTTGTCTAGAGCCGAGAATGAAGCGGAGAGCATCAGACAGAGGAGCTGGGGAAACGTCGGCCAAGGTGAAGGCTCTAGGAAGTGGCATTTCTGGAAATAATGCAAAGAGAGCCGGACCGTTCATCCTTGGTAAGCAGCTGCCCATTGGGTGAGTGGTGTGCTGGGGCAGGGGCAGAGCACATTGGTTTACAAGGTCCCATCTGCAGATATCCACAGTGAGACACGGCACCCATGGTGGTGGGGGCCTGGCCCCCTGCCACCACTGCTTTCAGTGGAGCTGAGCTCTATCAGTGGGAGAGCCAAGAGCCTACGTCCCTCTGGACCCAGGCTTGTCATTTTTGTTGTCGTCATCCCTGCCGAGAGCTGGCCTCTGTCTCTTCCTTTCTCCAGAGAGTCCTGTGTGTGCCCTCAGGATGCACACTGTGCCAGGGGAGACACCCAGACTGCACTAGAACCCAAGATCTACTCACCTAGGCACATCTTTGATCCCATTCTGGGAGAGTGACTTAATTTCACAAAGCATTTTTTAGAGCATCCTCATCCCCCATCGAAAATCTTGTAAAATTGGAGTAGCCTTGGGTTTCACAGCAGCCCCAAGGAGCAAGGACTTTTCTGCAGGCTGCCTGCGGTCCAGCAGATCCAGACTGCTTGTGATCAGAATTGTGGATGGTATGGGTTCTGAGGAAGCTTACTATCCAGGTGGCCAGAGACTGGGTTTGGGTTTCACATTGGTGACAACATCTTTAACTGATGGGCACAGGGTAATTATACCTCCATTCATTCAGCACAGAGAGTTACTGGCCCCTGCTATGCACTAGACACCTGTGCTGTTTGCCAGGGATGCAATGGTGTCTAAGGCAGGAAGGGTTCCTGCCCTCAGGGAACTGAACATTTTAACTGGATCAACAACAGGCAAGGCCTGATAAGTGCTTTGAAGGAACTAAGCAAGGTGAGAAGTGAAAAGGGTCTTAGAATAGCGTGGACCAGAAGGCCACAAGGATGGAAGGAACCAGCCATCTGAAGAGCAGGGCAAAGCCATTCCGGACAGAAGAGACAGCAAGTACAAAAGGCCAAAGATGGGAAAAGACTTAATGTGTTGAAAGAATGAAAGAATGCAGAGCCGAGGGGTACTGGGTGGGGGAGACATTTGAAGTTAGAGAGGTGGGCAGGAGCCCAATCATGCGGTGCCTTGGCATTTGTAGTTAAGAACAGTGGTGCTCTGGGATGGGCTTTTAATTGTCAGCAGCCCTGTGAGAATCCGACTTGTGCTTTGAAATCTCAGGTAGGATGCTGTACAGGGAAACAAGCAGTATGCATCTTCAGAAGTACAGAATTCCCCAAAGCTGGTTCCTCAGGAGGGCTCCATCGGACCCTCCAGGACCACCTGTTAGAGCTCTGATTTCCTGCCTCCTCAATCCTGGAGCTTCAGGTTCAGACTGCACATTGGGATCTCTTGTTCTGACGGATGCTCCCAGAGATGCTGGCTTGCATCCAGGGTTGAAAGCCTCTCAGAGTCTGGTATGTCTCCATATTTGGAGGGAAGACCCTGAACACAGTCCACTAGGAGATTTGGGGGCATGAGTCTGTCTAGTAGGTGTGAATTCTGGTATCCTCCTGAAGAGAAGAGCTGGCCAGAAAGAGCAGGTGGTGCCACAGTGTCTCAATAGCCAGTCTTCTCAAAGGTAAGCTGTTGTCTTTGTCACAGGTCCCCGTCTGGGCAACTCACCAGTGCCCAGCATTGTGCAGTGTTTGGCAAGGAAAGATGGTACCGATGACTTCTATCAGCTGAAGGTAAGTGGGCACCAAGAGAGAGAGAGCTTAGGACCCAGGGGCCCATTTTGCTAGCCCAATTCCTCCCTCTCCTCTATCTTCACACCTGCAGCACTTGTGAACAAGAGTAACGCCCTTTCCTCCCGTGAAGCAATCAAGTTCACACAGTTGCACTCTGAACAACTCCTGACGCAAAGCTTTACCTGTGCATAAATCACATTGCCATCACATTAAAAACCCTGTTTCTGTGTGTGTGTGTATCGTGTCGCATGGTAGAAAGTGACCCTCCTGCTTCTTCCGGTCTCCTCATTCTGCTTTGTAAAGTAAGGTTTTGTTCTTGTTTCGGCACCTTCCTAAAGATCCTTACCCTTGAGGAACGGGGGGACCAAGGAATAGAAAGCCAAGAGGAAAGGCAAGGCAAGATGCTGCTGCACACCGAGTACTCTCTGCTTTCCCTTCTCCACACGCAGGAAGGCGTTGTCCACCACCACGGGCTCTTCCAGGTGAGTGCCAGAGGCCCAGCCTGCCTTCCTCACCTCCATCCAACTGTCAACAGCCCTGGTGTCCCTGCCACTAGGTGCCACATCAGGACTTCCTGGGTGGGGCAGGTGGAGGGTCACATCCTGGCAGGAACACACAATTTGCATCCTAACTGCGGCCAGGCTGCTTTGAAGAGCCCCTTTCTGAGCGAAGAGGAAAGCAGGAAGTCATTAAAGACACACACGGCTCTTTCAGTGACTCCAGCCCTCTCAGCTGTGCTGTTAGGAAGTGGGCAGAAGAAAGGGAAATGGGCACATGACCCAGTTAAATCAAGGTAAGCACGGGCTTAGTTGTGCTTACTGACTAATCTATAGTGAACATTTTCACATGTTTTCCACCACATCACATAAAACTTCACTAGAGATTTGTAAGTAAGCCCATGCTTACCATGCTTTCTGGGCACGCCATCCCTGGCAGGGTATATATTTGAGTAGACTTCGATTCTGCAGGATAATGCTATGAGATTGGGAGAGACAGGTGCCAGCCATACCTAGAAGCAGAATCTTTGATGTGGTAAAAATGTGGAATTTTTCACAGCAGATTAGTAAGTAAGCACAAGTAAGAAGGCTGTGCTTGCCTTGCTTCCTGGGCAATCCGACAGTGGAGGATAGTAAGGCGGCGCCAGCATTGGGCTACCTATAAACCTTCACAGTTATATTGGTTCCAGCGGTCCTTTTTCTTGGCCAGGCATTCCCGTCTATTCAGCAACTGTCCCTGAGCACCTGTGCTGAAACAACCGGGACCACCCAGGTCCCTTAGAAGAGGTGAGGTGCTCATTAGCCACTTGTACCCTCGAAAGAGCAGAACTGAAATCAAGTTTCCAGCACAACAGACTTGGGTTCAGCAGGATGGCAAGGCCTGCCTAGACTGAAGAGCAGCTCCCAGCAGCCCATCTGAGGAGCCCTCAATCACTGTCCTGGCCAGAAGCAACTCTGGCTAATATGCACCTGATATTAGAGAGGCAGCATGGGGTTGTGGAAGGCACACAGGCTTTGGAGCCAAATAGTCCTAGAGCTGGGCCTTGAGACCTTGGCCAAGTTACTTGGCCAAGTGAGCCTTCCAATCCCTCAACTGTAAAATGGGGACCGTGTTAATGGTGACAGTGCTAATGATAGTGCGAGTGGCGGGCGCGGGCTCCGAGAAGATGAAGGGGATGTAGAGCACCGAGCTGCTGCTGGTACATGACCATTGGCATTGATATCCAGGTGCTGAAAACTCCTGTCCCACTCAGACACACCCCCACCAAGGTCTTTACTGTTAGATTTGCAATTAGGAGTAACTCCTTGAAGTCCTAGTGTAGCACTGTAGAATAAGTACTGGACTGCTAACTGCAAGGTCGGTGATTCAAACACACCAGCTGCTCCTTGGAAACGATACAGGGCAACTGTGAGTCAGAACTGACTCAATGGCACTTAGCAAACAGAACTAGGTATCATGAGATAAATCCCAAAATGAGCGTTTTCCTTAAATATGAAGTCAAGCTGCGGTGATTGTGGTTTCTTAGTAATTCATCCCTGATACCTTCAGTTCCTGTCTTGGTTCATGTCATTTTAGACAATAGAACCTGGGTAGCAAAAGTACTGTATTTTTCACAGATGAAGGGGCTTCAAAAAGTTCATGGAAAAATTCCATTTTCCACAAACTTTTTGAAACTCCTTTGTATAAAGCACCCACATAAATAGTGTGTACAGACATACAGTGTTTATAGCACATATAGGAAACTGATGTGTGAGGGGTGCACTGTTGGAAGGAAAAAACATAATGTGCACCTCAATTGCGTAAAAGTACTGGTATTTCGTTCATTATCATCTGTGTGTCGGACACTGCTGAGGCACCTGAGGAAGAGAAAAATGTCGATGTTCAGAGCTCCAGGAATTCCCCAGAGGGGATGGGCAGTCTTCTAGGGATGACAGGAGCTAGTAGGGGGAAGGTCCCCATTAAACCTGGTTTTTTTCTGCCTGAAATACGTTTCAAGCAGGAAATGGGGTGTAGAACATTCAGCACTTGTTCCTTTCAGTAGCCTGTGAGGTAGGGGTGGCAAGCTCCCTTTGACAGATGAGGACTAGAGACTTGGAGAGGTTAAGCAAACTGCCCCAAGTCCCACAGCTAAGACGAGGTGGAGCTGGGACCATGTGACTCCAGAGCTCCCTGGCTGCTCACCTTGGTCAGTAGTGCCACCTGAGGAGAGCTGTTGACTTGGGCATGTAGAACACTATAAAACCTTCCAGGGTTGATCACTGTTCATGTCCACATTCTTGGACATTGGTCAATGAAAGGACAGTTACACTGGTGATTCCTGGAATCCCTGGGAGTGCCTTGAGATTTGCTATCTGTACACTGGGCAGAGTCAGCCTGTGGCTTTAAATGCTCAGCTCTGAGCCAAATCAGATCAAAGCATTAAGCCTACTGGTAGACGTCTTAACCGGAGCCCCGCTCACTTTTAGGAACTGGGCTCATTCTCTTGTCTGTGGGTTCTGGCTACCCATCTGGGGTGCCCAGAGCCTGGAGCTGACCGAGCCTCTTGCTTGGCCTGGTACAGGACATGTAGAAAAGCAGCCAATGCTGAGCAGCACTGTGGTCCATGCTGCCTACAGGTTTGTTTGGGGCCCCCTCATGCATCCCCTTCAGGGGAGAGTCCCAACCCTTGACCTTGCCCCTGCTGGATCCACAGCCAAGTCCTGGTCTGCTCGCTTGTCTCCCAGGACCGTACCTGTGAAATTGTGGAGGACACAGAATCCAGCCGAATGGTCAAGAAAATGAAGAAGCGCATCTGCCTCGTTCTCGACTGCCTCTGTGCACATGACTTCAGCGACAAAACCGCCGACCTGATCAACCTGCAGCACTATGTCATCAAGGAGAAGCGGCTCAGCGAGCGGGAGACCGTGGTTATCTTCTACGATGTGGTACGCGTGGTGGAAGCCCTGCACCAGGTGAGACCCTGCTCTTTGGCCCATTGATGCTTGAGGGAAGTGGCCGCAGGCCACAGCCCAGGCTCATGGAAGAGCCCAGCACAGGGACTCCCTGTCATGAGAAAGGTTAAACTGCAGTCTGTAAAACTAAGATGCCAGAGATGTCAAAGTAAAGTTAGGGATGCCTGAAAGAGGCTAGAGCTTTCTGCTTGTTGATGACCAGAATCTTGAGACAGTTCAGCTCTGACCTCCACATCCAGTCACATGCTTGTTTTTTTCAGGGGTTGTTTGATGAGGTAGAAGGAAAGGGTGGTTTTCCCCATGAGTGCTGCTTTGCAGGGAGAAAACTGGGAGACGGACTGGGTCATGTTTTACCCAACTGGGGAGGTGCTGGAATTGTCCTCTTCTGTCTGTGGCTCACAAGCCTAAAGGGACATATTGAACAGCTCTTCCTGCTGTCCCAAGCCGCTAGAGAGTCCAACCCCAGCTGTCTCCTTCATCATACAAACTATAGACTTTTAATGTCATTTATTTAATTGTTAAGAATGCGTGCAGCAGAACACACAACTTCAGCAATTTTTACATGTCCACCACTGAGTGCATTCTTCAAGTTGTGCAGCTGTTTTACCCACCTTTCCTGAGTTGTGCCTTGCCTCTAAGGTCCTTATCTAATCTTTTGAGTTGTTCTAGTCTCTTTGATCCCATATAGTTTTTAAAAGAGCATAATGCTCAAGGTAGACATTTTTTTACTAGTTAAGCTAAAGTCTTGTTTGGTTTTAAGAAAAATGTAGGGGTTTATATTTGGTTAAAAGTTTAAAAAGGATTCCAGGGCAGCAGTTTCAGGGCTTTAACCTCCATGCTCCAGAAAACCTGGAGTCTATATGAATATGAAATTCTGGTCTGCATTTTCTTCCTTTTGTTCAGTATCCTTCTATAGACTCTCATCAAATTCAGACTAAATGCTTTTTGTTTTCCAGAAAAACATTGTACACAGAGACCTGAAACTTGGGAACATGGTGCTCAATAAGAGGTGAGATTTGCTTTCAGGGTGTACTCTTGGTGCTGGAGCAGGTTATGTGTTACTAACTACCCAGCACCCTCCAGTGTCCTCAGACTGACACCAAAAGCCCACTTTTCCCAGGAATCCCTGGGGCTAGGGGATGAGGATTCTGGCTTCTGCCTTGCCTCATGAGAATGTGGTTATCTTCTAAGAATGGGCGTCTTAGAGGCCACAAAGAGCAAGATCCGGGGAGGATTTCACAGCTTGGGCCTGGCTCCTGGTGGGTGCTCAGTAAACGACTCTAAAAATGGACAATGTGAGTTAATGAATTACAGCTCAGCAGAATGAGGCCTTGTCATCAGTTAAGTTCTCCTAGAAACAGGAGTTGAGATTTGTGTACAAGACACTGGCTAGGGCTGTGCTCAGGGAGAAGGGAACAGAATTGGGCAGGGGAGGAGCTGAGCTTTAACACAGCCATAACAGGACCTCAACAGAAGAGTTTGCAGCTGGTGCCCTTCAGTGATACCCTCAAATCAAGGCAGGGGGCCTTGCAGCCACCTGTCACTGGATGCAGGCTGTCCTCAGAGACAGGTGTAGTCTTGGACAAAGCGGCTACTCTGACTAAGGGCACTTCCCAAGAGGGACTCATCTCCAAGTGATCCATGGTTGACGCTCCCAGCAGCAGGCCAAGGGTGCCTGGGTCCCCTCAGCATCCCCAGTGAACCTTGTGCCCAGAGATCACTTGAGGCACCTGACTCAAACCATCCTCCGACTCAGGCACGAAGTCTGAGCCCCTTCAGGGCAGTAAGAGAGGGGCACCAACCAGAGAGGGACCCAGTAACCCAGGAACCAGCCCTGGCAGTGCAGAGCTGGGAAAGCTGCACCCCCTTACCTGCACCCTCTGCACTCCCTCAGCCCCCACCTCCCTTTCTCCTCCAGGTGAAATGGGTCACAGGCTGACCAGTGACAAGCAGCATATACTGTTTGGTGGGCAATGTGGTCAACATAATGTGGTCTTAAATTGTCTCCCATGGAGTGACCAGAGCCACAGTGGTCTCAGGGAGGTGGGCTTCTGAAGAGCAGGGAGGGCCATCAGACTCCCCCGCCCCCCAGCTCCAGTCTGAGATGGTGTAAGGAGGAGCTGCTGGCCACAGTGACACAGCCATCACCTCCCCCCAGTCCTGGGGCTGGAGATAGAACCTTTTCAGCTGCAGCCACTGCCCCCTGCCCAGGAAACATGTCACTCTGTGGAGGACTGGAGGACCCACAGGGGGAAGTGAATGTCAGAGTTGATGCATGAAGTGACAGCCTCCCCTGTAGGGGGGAGGGAAGGCCAGCCGGAAATTCCTGGTCTGCTTGAAGAGCTGACTGCTGCAATCAGTGAGCTAGGGAAGGCTGTGGAGCACGGATTCAGAGCCAAACCTGGCTCCCAGCTCTGAGGCCATGAGAATTTTCTCATTGGATTATTTACCAAATGGTTCAGTCCCTCAGCAGATATGTAATTAAAACAACTGTGCCCTTCCTCTGATCTCCCATTTCCTCCTTGTGACTGTGGGGGTGACCATCCCTCCCTGGTAAGTTTGGCTGGAGATACAAATTAGTGGATGTGAAACTGTCTGGCAGGATCTTGCCCATCATCAGTGCCCCTAGAGCTAGATTGGCCAAGGATGCAAGGCTCTGTGGCCCATCTGCATATACCCCTCTGAGCTCAAGGTCTGATGCCTATAAGAACCCTGAGGAGAGGGCCTAGCATTACTGATTGCCCCCCACTCAAAATCCTGGGTCCTGGTGCTCCCCTGACCAGTCACCACCCTCTGACTGCAGGCCCCCTACTCACAAAAGAGAGCAAGCCTCAGTCTGCCTGGCTGCTGAGCCCTTGCTCTATGGGCTGGGCTGGAAGAACTCCCAAGGCTCTGCGAGAACATGTGGAGGGTTGTTACAGGAAAGCTTACAGTGATCGCCACACCAGCACCCTACTCATGCCTCTCACTTCTCCAAGCCCCCCTAAAACAAAACAGACAAACAACACTGCCTTCTAGTCGATTCCAAAGTAGAACTACTTCATAGGGTTTCTGAGACTAAATCTTTACAGGAGCTGACGGCCTCATCTGTCTTCCTCACAGCAGCTGGTGGGTTTGAACCACCAACCTTGGGGTTAGCAGTCCAATATCTAACTCACTGCACCCACCAAGGCTCTGTGCAAGCCCCCTAGGTCCAAGGAATGTAAGCAGAGGGTGCACCTCCCTGTGCATGTATCACCCTCAGATTGCAGAGTGCTGTGCCTCGTTCACACCCAAATCTAAGCTGCGTGGCCTTTAATCTGCTCATCCCCGTTTTTGTGCCTTGGGAGAGACGGCCAGACCAGCCGCCTGAGTCATAAGCACTCTGGAAGAAGACAGGTCGGTATGGGGGAGTTGGCAGAGACCTGCACTGACCCGCTCAGAGCCAGGGTCCAGCCCCTTCTCCCACCCCCAGCCCCCAGCCTCCCCCAGTTGGAGGCCATTTTGCCCCATGGCAGCAGAACAGAGAGCTAGCTCCCAGGGGAGGAAACAGACAAGTGTTTGTGAGGCAGCTGCCACACCAAGTTCACCCTGATTAGGAAAAAAAAGGAAAGGATTGAAATCTGAAATCCCCTTTTGAGGTTACATGAGGTTTGCTGTGGGTTCTTTCTCCTTCCTCCTTACTCTTTGGGTAAGCAAGTTGCATACCAAGTTCCTAGAAAAGGAGAAGAATGCTGTGGTAGCCCAAAGGGCCATAGCTACGGAGTGACTCACTCAACCATTCTGCTGACGCACTTCTCCTCGCTCCATCTCCTGCCACTCACACCACTCCTGTCAGGATGAGACCAGGAGGTCTGAACTCCAGCCAGCTGGGCAGTGGTGGTGGCGGGGCATGGTGCCACCAAGCATCAGGGGGCCAGCTGAGGTCTCAGAGCTTGACAGACCCAGTGCTCTTTTCTGTGGGAGAGACTCTAGGGTCTCCAGCAGCACAGCAGAGGGACACACTTGGCCCAGCCACGTCCAGAGCACCTGCTTCACCACATGGGCAGAGGACTGGAGAGCCATACCAGAATCAGGTTGAAAACTGCACACATACCCTAGGGCCACTTGGCTTACTCAACATGGTACCTCCTACTTGGACCCCCCCACACCCCACCCCCGGTGGTCACTTTCTAGAGTCTGCCAGTGCGCCTCCTATCTGAGAAGAGCTAGTGACCCCAGCTAGCAGTTAGTGATCCCTTACTGTTTCCCTGGGATTGTCGTCTTACCTCGTTAAATCCTAACCCAGCTGGCCTTCAGTGCTAGTATTTCCCCAGATTTACAGATAAAGAAATTGAGGTTTAGCAAAAGATTAAGCCACATGCCCGGGGTCTCAAAGCAAGGATAGGCAGGCCCCGCCTATCCTTGGGTTGGGAAGCTGGGTTGGGAAGCTGACTCTCATGCCCACCCTGGCCTACTCTCCATGTCTCACTTGGTCAGAGACACCCCCCTCAGGACACATATGCAGCTGCAGGGGGCAGGAAACACACTGCACTGTGGGAACATCCCCACCGGAGACCTGAGCAGTGTGCAGTGTGACGTGAGGGCCTCAGCACATCGGGAGTCCAAGTCTTGATGCAAGTGTGATTGATTCTAGGCTGAGTCTCTTTGCTGGGCTTTCAGTCAGACTTTGATGGTAGCTGACAGGACAGGCCTGTGTGGAAAGCTAGAATCCATGTTTCCATGTGGAATGCAGAGGGCAGACTGGCCTTTGTTCTTACCAGGCTGTTGCCAGCAGAATTCCCCGAGATAGTTGACAGGCACTGGAGCCTCGTGGATGCAACTACTGGGGAATTCCACCTCTGCCCAGTCACTCTCTGGTCCTCTGAGAGGACCTTCTCCACCAAGACCCCTGGTGGAGATTCACCTCCTGCCATCCTCCCTCCTTCTCTGTCCAAAGACCAGGCCTTCTCCTCACTGGTCCCTCTCCTGAGCTCATGAGCGAGTCTTTCTGAGACTTCTTCTCCTAGACCCTGCAGTTGGCATACTGGGCCCCCTGGGCTCTGCACACTCCCCTCTCACCAAGCAGGGAAGGCCTCCTTCTGGTCACACTGTGAACTTCCTGGAAAGGACTTGAGCCCACAGCTGCTCCCTCATCCCATCCCCACCTCCCGCTGTTAGGGTGGATTTGTGGTGGACTAGGTCAAGCAGAGTCTGAAGTGCAAGACAGGAGATGAGTCAGCAGTCAGGAGTGGGGACATATGCATGTGGACCCCCAACTGGGGCTAGTCCTGCAGACTGACCTGGGCTTGACTCCTACTCCATCACACTAGCTGTGTAACCATGGACACATGGATTCACTGTGAACTCTCCCTTACAGGGCATCATAGGATGCTGTGATTTGGTGAAAAACTGCCTACATGAGCCCTGGGGCATGACCACCCACACTTAAACTTAAGTGCTCAGTAAGCATTCCCATTCAATGCTGATTGAGGATGCCATGAAGGGGCAGAGTGGCATCCAAGAGTGGACTCTTCTGTGTCATCTTGTCCCAGGAGCAGGCCTGAGCGCTCTATGCTCCCTGCACTCCACAGGGTGGTTGTTCCCTCCAAAGCAAACTGGGCTTCCTCCACCTAGGACTGTCCTGTCTATGCTAGAGTGTCCCCTGCTTGTGCCTGGACCTCCTAGAGGGTGTGGCCCTGGCTTGGCCTAAGCAACTCCTCTGCGCCTGCCAAGCTTGGCCTAAGGGGTTCATATGTATTCCTTAGCTGAAACCAGCGTTGGCAGCTCCAAGCCCAGACCCTGTTGTTGCAGGTGAAGTCTCCAGCCACACTGCAGGTGCTGAGCATTGTCAAGAACTAACTAACTAACTATGTCCCGTTTTCTCTTTTGTGTGATCCTGAATATCATACACTTGGCTGTTGTCCGGCTTCAGCACAGTCACCTGCCACCCAACCTGCAAATGCCCTCCAGTGTCTCAGGCCAGACCTGAATGGAGGGTGGTCCCACTAGGCACCCAGGTTTGCTAGTCCCATTGGGAGCAGATACCCTGTTCTTTGAGGTGCTTCTTGCTGAACTTCCCACCAGGCCCAGTAGTGGGAGCTCCAGAGCTTCTGTGGTTGTCACCCAGATGGGTCAGGAATGGCTGGTGGTTTCTGGATAAGGCTTATCTGCAGAACCTGGCCGACAGAACGCCCTGCCTGTATGTGCTGGCAACCAGAGTCAATCATAGGAGAAAGGACCTCCTAGCGTTTGCCATGCCCCAGAGACTTTTGGGGTGGGGTGTGAGCTCATATCATGCCAGCAATCATGAGGTTGGCGTCAGACGAGGGACCGTCCTGTTCTGTTGTACATAAGGTCGCCAAGTCAACAAACAAGTGGTCAAACCGGGATTCATGCCAGGTCTGCTTGGTCCCCTGGCCTGTACCCATGCACTAACTGCCGAAAGTCTCTATGCAGTAGAAGAGTGTAACAGCACAGTCTCAAGCTTCTTCCTAGCAGTGTTTCTTGACTTCCCTGGGCCTCTGTTTCCCAGTCTACCAAGTGAGGGTCACAATGGTACCTCCTCATTGGGTCACCGTGTAGGTTGCAGGAGTTGGTACCTGTCAGAACATGGGAGGCATAACTTTTGGTCTTAGGGATTATTTCCCCTTCCTCAGTCTCACTCTCATCCTCTCAGTTCCTTGAGTGTGTGATGCTTTCTCCCCCCATCAGCACTGGGTCATCTCCCCTTCACCTTCCTGGTCCCTCTCATCTTTCCTGCATGAACCAATTCACTGTGGAAACAAGGTGAACCTGGCACTGGGCCAGTGGACTAGTAGACAGTAACCCCACAACCCTGCTTTTGTCCCTCACAAATTTCTCCCCCCATCAAAAAATATGAAGGGAACATAAACGACAGAGAAACCTTGTTCCGATTGAGGTGAGCAGAGTCACCTTTCTTTGGTAGACACCGTGTCATTCTTGTGTAACTCCATACAGCATACAGCCCCTGTAGCTGCCTGGTCCCAGGCTGGTGGCCCCTGGTGTGGGTGGGCAGGCTCCCGTGGTCGGGGGCTCACAGCAATACAGCAACTCTGCATCTGCACCAGTGTGAGTACCCTCTACCATCAAGGGGAGTGTGGCTAAGGCTCTCTGGGTTTGTCAGCTAGCTCCCAAAGAATGCTGTCCTGGAATTGCTCGGGAAATTCCCAGACCATCCAGTGCCAGCATCTTCCAAGCATGCGTTGGCCTACAGCTTGAGTTTTGGAAAACAGAGAGGGTGAGTTAGGCCAGGTGTGCTGTGGCTCTTAGTCTTTGAGGACTGTGTGACCACCCCTCCCCACTGGTCTCCGTGGGGGCCTCCTCTCAGCCCCTGTGTTGTGTCTGGTCAGATGTTAACTGCAGGGGTGTGGCCTCTTGGATAGTCCCCAACTCCCTGGGCAAGACGGGTTTTGTCAGCAGGGCCTTGTTTGGTCTGAAGGGCACAGTGCAGGGCTGGCAGGGGCGCCGCATGAGTGGGACCCTCTCTTCCCAGGGAATTTTTCCTAATCTACAGGTTGTGGTAATAAGGACCAGAGAGGCAAGAAGTGCTCTCTGGTCCCTTATGTGTAAACGAGAGACTTGATCTAAATCTTCAGGTCACTCCCAGGCTAGAATGTTAAGTGTGGTTTTAGGGTAAATCCTTGAAGGTCTTCTAAGCCTTAAGACATGTCCCCTGAGATGAGACTCATCCAGTGTGGCAGGTTCAGGGAGTGTTCCGTAAGTCTTCAGTTGGACAGGAGTAACTGGGACAGCTCAGCTGGGGGCACCAAGCGTGGTCTGTGGGCAGAGGACTGCTGAGAAGGCTGTGAGGGGCTGAGGAGCAGAGGACGTGGACGTCATTCCTTTGCTTCCTGGATTGGGACACACCCTTTGAAGAAAAACTAGACTATTCCTTTTGTTTAAGATTGTTGGCTGGGCACCCTACACGTCTGGCTCCTGTGGGGACCCGGCACTGAGGTTTGTCTATTCTCTCTTCTGCCCATAGAACTCATCGGATAACCATCACCAACTTCTGCCTCGGAAAGCATCTTGTGAGTGAGGGGGACCTTCTGAAGGACCAGAGGGGGAGCCCTGCCTACATCAGTCCAGACGTGCTCAGTGGTATGTGAATTAATTCAACAAAGTGTACAGGTGCTGGGCTTCACGGATGACCAAAACCTTCTGTGTACAGACTGTGTGGTGGAGGAGGAAGACGGTGACCGCCACACCAGTGCTCCTTTAATGACTCCCTGAGCTGAGTGCTTGGAAGGAAAGGAAAGATTTTTCTGTGGACTTAAAGGGCACTTCAGGGCTGCCCCAGGGCAGTGACATTTGAACTGAGATGCTAGGCTAAGTGTCAGATCTCTAGGTCTGCAGTGGGCTGAGGAGGAAGAGGCACAGCACATTGGAGGAACTGCTGGGGCATGAGCCTCCCACACCCTGGAGAGGCACTCCTCGCCCTTTCTGTCAAATACACCAGGAAGCCAGTGGGCAGGTCTGAGATGAGTGCCTACCAGGAGGTCTGCATCCCAGAATGTTCACTCAACTTGTTTGTTTATTCATTCAACTCTTAGGCACCTAGGGTCTGCCCTGTTCTGGGTCCTTTGTAGACAGCAGTCATTAAAGCAGACACACTGTCTCCTTCATGGAGCTGCCTGCAGGGGTAAGAGCGATAATAGAATCCATAAATAAATGTAGTTGTTGCCTACCGAACACTTCTACGGACTAGGTATCGTGCAGAGCCGCCTGATGCACTGTCTGAGCAGAAATACACAGCTGCCCCCGGAAGTAAATATGCATAGGTCCTTTTTGACATGTGAGGAAACCAAGACTGAGACACATGAAAGCTCCTGTCCAAAGTTCTGGCTACTAGTAAATCAGAAAACTGAGCCCCAGTGTCAGGCTGCCTGCTCCTGAAAGCCCATGATCCTCACTGCTTCCCAGACACTCCGTCTCTTTCCCCTCTCCCTTGTCCTGTGTCAAATGGGTCCCTTACAGAGCTAGGGGCTGACTCCTACCCCTCTGATGTGGAGAGTTCAGGGTGCACCCAGGGCCCATACCTCACTGCACACATGTCTTCTTGGGGAGCTATGGATATGGTATTTGGTGGCTTCTGCTGGAGAGTCAGGTGCTCCTCAAAGCTGGCCAAGTGCAGAGGAGTGGTGGTGCCACTCCCCGGCCTGGGGGTTTTGGTTGGCATCACCGTGACCTTGGCTAGAGGGATCAGGGTGCCAGGGCACTGCCCCTGTGGCATAGCTCAGCCTGGACACCCTCCATGGTAATCCCAGAAGCATCCATAATGGTGCTAGAGCCAGCCTTCTCCCTCAGCCAGTGAGACAAGGTCTGTCCGTCTGCGTGGCTAGGGACTGGCAGGCCTGGCAGGCCTGGGTGAGAGGCCTTGTGGTTCCCCCTGCTGCCGCCTGCAGCCTGTCTCACTCCAACTCTTCCAAACAGCGGGAACCCACTGCAGTAGAGAGAGGCCTGGGCCCAGAGGCCTGGGCTCTAATTCTGGCCTTGGCCTTCACCCCCTTCTCTGAGCCTTTTCACAGCTGAGAGGCTGCCGGCGGCCCTGCCTCCCTTCTAAAAGGATAAATGAGGTGCTCAGGTGCCAGGCAGCACTCTGGGGTCATAGCCCACACCTGCCACGTCCTGCGTTCTCTGAGGGCCGGATACAGCCTGGTGCTCACATTGGCTGTGAGAAGGTAGACATTCCTGTTTTTGTCATCCACGGTCTGGTTAATGACTATGAGCCCTGGACCGCAGTTTCCTCAACCATTAAATAGACATGAGAACAACACCTGCCCTGTTAGGTACCCTGTGGGGCTCAATAAAGCCTTCACCTAGTGTCTGGCTCAGCAAAGCGTCCCTGACATCAGTATTACTAAAAGGAAGATTTGAGGATCAGTGCCCCTTTAACACCCAAGCTCCCTGCCTGGTGTGAGAGTTCCTCTCCAGAGCGCCGGCTGTCCCCCACTGCCTGGACCCTAGCATTGCTGTCACCCCCATTTGACAGCTCTGTTCAGAAGGCTCCATGGCACCTTTAGAGGCAGAGCCAAGCCTGTTTGAGGCCCACATGCACACACCCACCCAGTGAAGTCATTTGACCCTTTCTACGGCAGTACTGTCGACCTTGAAACCAGGATCCCCACTCCAGAGGCCCCTCCACTAGCCTGGAAGAGTCCCCAGGGGTGGCAATGAGGTGCTGATAGAGCCGGGTGTTGAGTGGACAGTGGACACCGTCACAGCAGGCAGTTGTACTTTACATTTGTGGGGTGGGGAGCATGGGGCAGGGTGGGTTTCCAGTGAGCGATGATGGTTCACATCCTCCAATTACGTGACCTGAGGCAAATAACAGCAGGTGTGCGTGCCTCAGTTGCCTCCACCACCTGCCCTGGGGGCCACCTGGGCAGACAGACAGTCCAGGGAAGCAAAGCAGGGACTGCCAGGCAGGCAGGGGCATGACAGGAGGCCACATGTGATCCCTTCTCAGAGGCTTGGGACGGTGGGTCTCACCCAGGAAATGGATAGGGGTGACCAGGGTGAGGTGCAAGGTGGAGGAGCCCCGTGAGGGAATTTCCAGGCACACAGCTGGTAGCTGAGGAGTTGTGGACAGGCGATCATGGCCCGGACTGAGTGTGTGTGTGTGTGTCCATTGGCTCCTCAGGCCGGCCATACCGGGGCAAGCCGAGCGACATGTGGGCCCTGGGCGTGGTGCTCTTCACCATGCTGTACGGCCAGTTCCCATTCTACGACAGCATCCCACAGGAGCTCTTCCGCAAAATCAAGGCCGCCGAGTACACCATCCCTGAGTAAGTCTCAGCGTCTCCAGGAGGGCAGGGTGGCCCCAGCCCTTTGAACTCAAGGGCAGGAGTTCCTAGCACTGGCCCACCTGAGCTGAGCTGCTGTCTCTCTGTGTCAGGGACGGGCGGGTTTCTGAGAACACCGTGTGTCTCATCCGGAAACTACTGGTCCTCGACCCCCAGCAGCGCCTCGCTGCCACCGATGTCCTGGAGGCCTTGAGTGCCATCATTGCATCTTGGTAAGTGGGCAGCAGCGGCACTGGGCGCCAGGCTGGGTTTGGAGATGCCCCACCCGTCAGCTGGTACTGCCTGGGCCTGCCCAGTTAGGAAAAAAAGCCTCCTTCTCTGGCAGGCAGTCAGAATTCCAGGCTCTTCCCCCAGGGCCACGGTTGGGAGGGTGTGGGCAGATTTCAGGACCTATGGGGCAGGCAGTCCCTCAGAGTTCTCACCACAATCTCGGGCAGAAATTGTTTTACTTTGTTGGATGAGAAAACTGAGGTCTGGGGAAGTGACCAGTGAGGAAGAGGTCTGTCTGCTCCAGGTTTTGGAGCATGGGCAGCTGACACCTCTGGGGTAACCGGCCAGCCTGAACCATTTCATCCCTACAGGCAGTCCCTGTCATCTCTGAGTGGACCTTTACAAGTGGTTCCGGACATCGACGATCAAATGAGCAATGCTGACAGCTCCCAGGAGGTAAGTCCTTACCTGAGGGAAGGCAGGTCGTAGGGCTGCCTTGTTCATCTTCCCCAGAACTTGAAGGAGGATGAGTTAAGGGGTCTACCTGAGCTCCCTATGTCCAGCTGGGCCTGAGAGAGAGGGTTGTGACGCAGGTGAGGTAGAAACTGGCTCCTGGAAGACCCACAGCACCCCACACTGGCCCTTTCTCAGCTTCCTCCTCTGGACTTTGCCTGTGCTGGCCTTTTGAAGGGTCACTTTTCCCTGCCCCCCAACTCATGGAGTTCTCGCTCACCCTTACTGCTGTTCGTTTTTCAGACAGTTCATGTTCTGTTCTTTCTTGTTCCCATACTGGAGAAAGTGCTGGGCTGGATGCCACCAGGAGACTGGGGCCCTGGGTGACAATGGGTGGCTGATCTTAGGCTGCCCTCTGGAGGGCAGGGCTTGGCTGAGCCTGGGAAGCATGCTGCAGAGGGTCTCACTGGAGTTGCACAGCAGAGGGAAGAGGAGGGGCCGTGCCAGGGCAGAGCTCCACCCCACACCCCATCTCCCACCCTCTAGTGCTGTTCAACAGCTAAAACTCATCCCCACTAGCAGCAATGAGTGCCCACTCCCAGATTCCGCCCTCATTCCAGGCCTGCAGGGCCTGTGTTCTTATCCTCATTTTACGAAAGAAGAAACTGAGGGTCAGAAAGGCAAAGTAGTTTCCCCGAAGTCCACAGCTTGGAAGTGGTGGAGCTAAGTCTTGAACCCAGTTCTGAGTCCAGAGCCTGCTTTCCCCTTCTGATTAGCCCAGGGACCTACCACTTCCATGTCTAGTACTGCCTGCCTGGGCTGCTCCACGGAAGTTGGCTTGGGGTCCCGTGTGTGGCCAAGATACAGAAACGGCCACGGAGGTGCTGAGCACCCAGCCCAGGGCATTGGCAAGGCTCACAGAACCTTTGTATAGCAGATGCACGTCCATTTCACAGGTAGGGAAGCAAAAAGCTTCAGAAATGACATGACTTTGCCCAAGTCAACATAGTAAGAGAAGAGGGGAGGGATCAGCTCTGATTGCACTGACACTCAGAGCTGGGCTCCTGGACCCCCACCTCAGTTACCTGCTTCAGAACTGGCCCAAAGGGTGGGTGCCTTGGGAAGGGAGGCCTCTAGAGCCAGGCCGTCCCACACTAAGTCCCTGCTATTGTCCTTCTGTCTGTCTCTGCTCTCTGATCCTCTGGGATCCCATCCTGTTCCCTCTCCCTCCATATTCTGTCTCTGGACCTCTCAGGCGAAGGTGACGGAGGAGTGCTCCCAGTACGAGTTTGAGAACTACATGCGGCAGCAACTGCTGCTGGCCGAGGAGAAGAGCTCCACCCACGAGGCCCGGAGCTGGGTGCCCAAGCGACAGTTTGGCAGCGTGCCGCCAGTGCGCCGGCTGGGCCACGACGCCCAGCCCATAAACCCCTTGGACGCGGCCATCCTCGCACAGCGCTACCTGCGGAAATAGCAGCTTCAGCTGTGGCTACCAGCACCACCTGCCGCCTCTTCTCTGCCCCTAACCATTGGGACTGGGCCCTGTAGCTCTGGATTCTCCCCCCAGGCTGCAACTGGGACATGGCCAGGGCCAGGGACAGCCCAGGTCGTAGATGGGGTCAGCAGAGGTACCACGAGGCTACCTTTTGGAATGATTGCTTGATTGTTTGGTTTTTAATCTGAGAAGCCTAGATAACTAATCTGCTTTTAATCATGACGTTTTAATCTACCTCTGTCTCTTTAACCATGCTGTCTCTGGACTGAGTGAGAGGGAGGAGGAGGAAGCCCACTTGACCCAGCCCCCCGGCCCAGGGCAGCTGCTCCCCACAGTCCAAATAAGCTGACCGTGCAGCTCGCTGCTGGCTCCCAAAATGACACCCACTCCTCACTGTGCTCCAGACCCCTCCCACCACCTCTGCTGTCCTCCCTTTCCTGCTTCTAGCCCTAGAACCCTCAGTCCAAGCTTTGGAAAACCTTCACCTCATCTTCAGCTGAATTCAAATATATTTATTTTTTTACTGAAACCAACTTCTTGCCCATCTCTAGGTGGCCAAGGCCTCTCCCTGCCCCAGCCTGGCTGGGCAGCCTGGGGTGTCCGACCACAGCCCCACATGGGTCGCCTCCTCGCCTGTCCTCCGGGCCTGGAGAAGCCCCTTCTTGCCGGTGGCTTCCCTCATCCCTCCAGTCCCTCTTCCTTTCCGATGATGGGGAGGCCTTTCTAGACTGGGTTCTTTTTCCCCATCTCAGTAGCTTCTCTGAGGTGCTGCACACTTGCATTAACCCTGGTTTCTGTGGTACGGAGGTAGCCTTGACATTACAATGTGAAGGGGGGCCGACTGCTCTGGGCTGGCCAGTGAGCTGGGTGAAGGCCCTCCCTGCACATCCCCCCGCCCCCGCCCCTGTGTTCAGAGGATGGTGGGGACATCTCTCCGGCCAGTGCCTCACAGTGGATGTGGTGTCTGTGCCTGTAGACCCTGCCCAGGGTCCCTTATGAGGGATGAGAGCTTGGGGGAAAGTTGTAGGAACTGGAGGACCCTAACCTTGCCTGCCTTGAGAACAGTCCTGTTGCCCTTTTTGAGCCGAGTTTTTTGGAAGTGGATGCCTGTCTTGCCAGAGCCGCTGTTCTCACCAGAATGCCCTCCCCTCTCCCTTCCCTCACTGGACTTGGCCCTGCCGAGTGTCAAACAAAGACCCTTCTCCACAGGCCTGCCCTCTCATACCCCCAACCAACCGGCAGGGCCCCCTCCTGCCTGCCCTTGCTCCCCAGTGGGGAGGTGCCCGAGGCCTCACTGGCCGTGTTCCCAGAGTGTGAGCTGACCCCCACCCCCAAAGCTGACTCACTGTGAGTGACCTTGGGCAAGTTCCCAAACTTCCTTGTGCCTCAGTTTCCCCATCTGGAAAAAATGGGGCCACCTCTTGCCAGCAGTAGCAGGGCCGCCGTCCTCCCTTCCTCCCATGTCCCCATCCCAGCATTTGGGCGGCTCATGCCTCTGCCTCAGTGGGTCTGTGGGAGCCTGCCTGAGCCCCAAGCTCTGCCTGGGTCTCAGCTAGCCAGCCACTGAGAGCCAGGGGGTCATGCTGGGGCAATGCGAGGATGCCCTCTTTTCTATATTTATTTCAGAAAGAAAATTCTAAGGGAAAAAGTAGTCTGTCTGCCCTAGGGCTCCCAGCCCCTGTGACTCTCGTCCTGTGAGGGTCCAAGACGATCAGGGCCCACCTCCAAGAGCCCTTGTGCCATTGCCCAGACCCTCCAGGGCCTGCTTCCCATGTGATCTTTCTCCTCCTTTTCAAAGCAATATCCTCCGGGTCTGTCAGACAGACTGGTCCCTGCCAAGGTTTGCCCATGCGTCTGATTGAATTTCTGCAAAGCAAACAAGAAGAGGTTGGGTCTGCCCTCACTGGCTGTCACATACTGCGAGAAGTCCTATTGTAAAGAAACAAAACAAATGGAAAAAGTCACAAAAAAGTTTGTATAAAGACATATTTTTGTACTACATGGGGACTCTTCCTGCATGTCAGCAATAAAACTTCCTGATCTGGAGCCACTGTGCCTCTTGTCAGTCTCTTGTTTTTTACGACACACACACACACCCCGGCCTCTCCATCTCTGGCCCCACCTAGCCTGGTGAGGCAGTCAGAGCCTCAGCTTAGATTCCTGCAGCTCCTGGCTGTGCCACCAGATGCCCTGGATATGGACCTCAGCAATACCTGTATCAATGTGGAGAGGAGGTCCAGACTATCCAGCATTCCCCAGAGCCTCTGGTCCCACCTCCTCAGGCAGCTGAAGAGTATTGGTCTTCTTTCCCTGCCAGACTCCCGCTGTGGTGGGAGGTGGGGGACGGGCCTGGCCAAACACAGAACACCAATCTGCCCACAAACCCACTAAGGTAAAGAAAAGGGGCCAGGCCAGGCGCTTTTCTGCCCCTCCCTCCTCCCTTCCCCTCCCCTTCCTTCCATAGGATGCCAAGGGGCTTCCTTTCTTCCTTCCTTCAGCTAAATACAGACTTTGTAGACTGAACTTCCTGAGCAGCGAAGCTAGAGGTAGGCTGGCCCCTTCCCCTGCACTTGTGCAGACTTACTTTTATATTCAGGCCCCAAGAGGACATGCGCACCCCAACCTAAAAGCTCATGTTACCACCCACAGTGGCCTGGAGATCTCGGCCCAGGTCAGGCAAGCAGCAGAAATTCAAGAAGGCCAAGCCCTTCTGACAAGGGTTCTGACAAGTTCTGTCCAAGACTGGGATTCTAGTCCCAGCTGGAATCCCATCACTCCACCCCCAACCCCAGCCGCCAGGTGACCATCCAGCATCCTGGCCACTCCCATTTCTGGGAAATTTGGCCCACTACATCTGACCCTTCAGTCAGTTTGTCATACTATGGTGGCTTATGTGTTGCTGTGATGCTTGAAGCAATGCTACCAATATTTTAAATACTGGCAAGGTCACCCCTGTTGGACAGGTTTTAACAGAACTTACAGATTAAGAGAGACTAATGTCAGAAGGAGGAATTGACTCTATATCTGAAAACAGTATGCAGTAAAAACCACTGGAACATTACCTGATACAGTGCCAAAAGTTGAGCCTTTCTCTTTGGAAGGCATTCAAAATATGACTAGGGAAGAGCTACCTCATCAAAGTAGAATCAACCTTAATGACATAGATGAAATAGAGTTTTCAGGGCCTTCATTTGCTAATATGACACAAAATGAGAAACCACTGCCAACATCTATTAATAGTCAGAGTGAAATGTATGAAGTCCGAATCAAGGCAAACCGGAAAGCTTCATAAATGAACACATGAAACTGGTAGCCTAGGCACTATTGAGTGTCATCAAGTCAGTTCCAACTCATAATGACCCTATATAGGGCTTCTGAGAAGTGGCTGGTGGGTTTTGAACCGCTGACCTTGTTAGTACTATAGTGCATATACTAGAGCGCCTTATCAGGACTCCAAGGCACTAGTGAGCTGAAATGAACTGTTATTGGCCATTTTTAATTGGATGATCATTTGTTTACTATGTCAGTAATGACAAAGAGCAATGGTGTTGACTTCATCGTTAAAAAGAACATCTAAGTTCTATCCTGAAGTGCATGGCTGTCAGTGCAGGATAATACCTATATGTCTATAAGGGTGACCTGTTAATATGACTACGATTCAAATTTATGCACCAACTATAAATGCCAAAGTTGAGGATATTGAAGATTTTTACTAACTTCTGCAATCTAGAATTGATTTAACATGCAATCAAGATGCATTCAGATCACATAATTTTGCAAATACCATGTTTTCAACAACATAAATGGTGGCACATCACAAGCCACCACTCGTCTGTCAGTTTGTCATATTGTGGTGGCTTGTGAGTTGCTGTGATTCTGAAAGTTATGCCACCGGTATTTTAAATACCAGCAGGG